GAAATGGTTTTGGGTGTCCAACATCTCGATTTGTTCAAATAATAAAAGCCACTTTTTATATACCTTAGCTTAGTCATCAGCTTAGCTTTACACCTGAACATTTAAATTAAACATGAGAATCGATTTAAAAATTCTTCTTTGAAAATATTGGCTGTCTATGGATCATTAGTAGTTGTCTTAAGTTAAATCATAATATTTTATTTCAAAACAAACGTAGGTACTTACTTCATTTAAAATTATAAAATTATAACTAAAAATATTATTTCCAATTTGCATTAAATATTTTATACTTTTTTTTCCTAAAAACAATTCGTTATGTCTATATTAATATTTAAATATAGTTATATGCACCGTGTGTACATTGTTTGATCAAATATACTGTAAAATATTTTATTTTCATGTATTTAATTAATATTTTGAAGAGAAACCATAATTCGTATTTTTTATTTTTATATATAAATATCATCGTCTACTAGATACATGTCTTCTTATTTGTATTATCTAACAGCTGTATTAAAACTGAAAAAATATAGCATCAGACATTATTTTCATGCAGGAAAATAATCCAAGGATTTTCAGTCGATGCGTTTACTTTTAAAATACTTTTTTCTGTAAATTACATCATTTAATTGTTTTATTACCTATTATTATTGATATTTTTTAATCATCAACAACTAGTTGCTTATATTTTCAAAAAAATATGAAAACACTTGACAAATTATTGACCACAGTTCTAAATAAATTATACTTTATTGTTTTTTATGACTCTGATAATTTTCAAAATTGGGTTTGAATGCAGACATCTCAATAATGTTAGTTATAATTAATAATTATAACTTAAGTGTTGTTTTAATTGAAATCTAATATTATTCATTAAAATATGATTATTATATTTTTTTAATTTTAATAAATGAATAAGAAGGTATTTTCACCAAAAAACATATATAATTATAATGAATTTTAATTTTTAATTTTAGTATAATATTATGTAGATTCAATACTATCTAAATATGAATACCTACTCTCTGTAAAAATATATGAGAACTACGTTTTAGTGTTTTTACGAACAACCAAGATACTACACCGCCGTTTATATGGATATTTTAGACATTAGTTTGAAGTTCCCATGGACTATGGAGTTGAGATGGTATACGCAATGCGCGTAGGTAAATATTACAAGACAAATAACAATTCGAATATCATACAAACGAGATTTCACTATAATTTCGAATATTTAAGAAAAGGCATTTTGTACAACTATAATTAAGAACATTTGGACAACAAACCTACGGAACATTCTTAAGTTGTAACTTTCTACTCGGCAAACTCTGGGAAAACATTTTTTTTTGTTCGATCACGTTTAAATCGAATTTTTTTTTTTGTACAGACAACTTTATGCGATCGCTGCTGTTCGTAAATATTCTGAGATGTAATCTGCTTTAATCGATCTGAAATCAACTCATACAATGCACAAGCATAATGCCATTAGAATACGACGACAATGAGTGTTTTTATACAGTCCACGGTGGAAGTGCAAAGACTTTATTATATTGCAATTTTTATTGTTGTCTGGCAATATTATAGTAAAACATGATAATAATGGAGCTTGAAAAATGTCATTACCTCATCAATCGAGAACGGCTAGTCCGATTTGGCTCATTTTTTTTTTAAGATGTTCGTAATTGCCAAGAGAAGGTTTTTACGAAAGAACATTTTAGGAAAATCCACCGGAAAAATAGGAAATCCGGATGTAAAAAATACAACCGTGGCGCAACAGTGTATTATAATATATTGGTTGCCATTGGTTAGTCGGGCAAGTTTGTTGATTTGTATTATTATTTTTTGTCAGTATATATATATATATATATATATACACTTAAGTACAAACAGCACGGGGTCCGCGATCTACCTCAGGTAGATTGCCTCCCCGATAGTATAGTGCTGCGAATCAGAATTTTATTCTGGGCAAAGGAAAAATTAAGATAAATCTATAGGACATCATACACCGAATATTAAATAACGCATTGAAGTTTGAGTAATATGGAGTTGGTACATTTAAGAGGCAACGAAGTATAGGGGATCAGCTATTATTATATAGATGATTTCAAAAGCCCGATACTATAGTTGTAAAATGCTAAAATTACACATTGTAATAATATAATACGTTAAAATAAAAACTATATTACTAAATTATATTACGTAACAAAATCAGTTTGTGTCCGGGACACATCCGGATTCTGAGAATGCATATAATACCGCAATGAACATTATTAGACCGGTCGTCCGTATTTAGTATATACCTATGAGTGGAATTTGGTTTTATCGAATATTTCAGTCCGTATAATAATGTTATAGTTTATTCCGTTTAAAGAGCGTCGCATCGCTGTATTATAGTCGTAGGCGGGACGTGTTAAAAATAACAATACCTATGCGCCTATTATAATACTATAATGTGGAATAATTATAATAAACGAATTAGACGAAAACACTGTTCCACGGAGTTATATTTCAAAACGTGCAATCAAATTACCCGGGTTCGTGCACCTATACATCGGCCGAATTCCGAAATAACAATATGTGATATTATACGGCTTACCTATCGTTATTGTTGTGCGCGTACATTATTAAACAACGACCTGGGTAGGGGTAGGTAAAGTTTTGTTTATCGCCGCGCCGACCTTTGATGTCATGTCCTCCTCGCCCGTTTAAACGGGCATGTACCAGTTGCCCCCAAAAGTACCTTTTTTATACCAATTCCCCCCAAACTACCTAGAGGAAAAAGTACCAGTTGCCCTCAACCAAATGTACCAGTTGCCCTCACATGTTAATATATACACAAATAAAATATATAGCTCGTAAAATAGGGGAGGTAAATATACAAATCATAAATAAAATATAATATTCAAAATTATAATAATTTGTCAATATAAAATAGTACAAAATTCAAAATATAATAATTTGTCAACATATAAATAGTATAAAATTCAAAATTATAGAGTTAAATTCATAATAATTAATGTAATTATAATGAGTAGCATATTCAATCTAATAACTTGTCAACATATTTACACAATTCAAAATATAATACCTAATGTGCCAATCAAAAAATAGTACAAAATTCAAAATATAATAATTTGTCAATATAAAATAGTACAAAATTCAAAATATAATAATCTGACAATCAAAAAATAGTATAAAATTCAAAATATAATAATTTGTCAATATAAAATAGTACAAAATTCAAAATATAATACCTAATGTGCCAATCAAAAAATAGTACAAAATTCAAAATATAATAATTTGTCAATATAAAATAGTACAAAATTCAAAATATAATAATCTGACAATCAAAAAATAGTATAAAATTCAAAATATAATAATTTGTCAACATATAAATAGTATAAAATTCAAAATTATAGAGTTAAATTCATAATAATTAATGTAATTGAAATAGTTATTAACAGGGATAGACTAGTATGCAATAAAAAATTGAAAAATATTCATTTTATTTACCAAAATATGCAAAAATATGCATTTTAATTTTTAAGTGATACACACAAAAATATAGTTACAAAAAATAGGTATATTTATTATATATTTAGTATTTACCTCCCCTATTTTACGAGCTATACATTGTAAGCGTGTATATTAACATGTGAGGGCAACTGGTACATTCAATTGGGGGCAACTGGTACATTTGGTTGGGGGCAACTGGTATATTTTTAAAATCTCGATAATAGCCGTGGGGGGCAACTGGTAAACACCCGTTTAAACACACATGGTATGCCAAAATCCAAACTGTGTAGCCCCCTATGTTCTGTTGCGATCCGCCGAACTGCAATTTGGTGTAATGCAGTAAACATGTAACAAAACTAAACCGAGGGTGGCGCCCCCTCGTCGTTAATACGTTTTTAATTGAACGTCGTCGCCGGGCGTACATTTTAAAATGTTTATGTTCGAGTAATGCATAATAATAATTATTATTATTATTATTATTATTATTATACCTATCAGGTTATAATATTATAATACATTACTATTATATCGTGTTCGCGCGTGTGCGTTAATGGACACGAGTTTTAAAAATTACGAAAACTTGTTCCGAAGTAATCGTAATAATTTTTTGACCGTAGAACATAATGTGCGAGCTATAATATTATTACTCCATGATAATAATAATATGACCTGTCAAAACAAATATAGGTATTATGTATATCTATAATAATATACAATACTACACAACGTTCAAATATTAACACTCGCGTGATGTTTATAAATGAAAATTTATTTCCGTACTTGTATAATTTTTCCTTGTATCATATCCGTACTTGTTATGGTAACGCGAATATGACAAATAACACAATCATATTATGTATTAGTTTATAACATTGAGCTGGCCGACCTGAAAAAAAAAATATAATTATTGTTTTTATCGATATTATAATATCTATTACCTCAATATCAAATAACACGATGGTAATATAATATATTTAGTATAATCGTATATTGTAATTTGTTACTGTACACAATTTCAAGACATTCGTGACATCAAAGAACACGATTTTTTTCTTAAATTTTCATTATTTTACCGTCAAAAAAGCAATTGGATTATCCAATCGTCAATATATTTTCTTTTAGTCATAATCGTTATAATGTCGTGCACATAATACAGTAGGTAGGTTACACATTATACGTTGTCACGCGTTCCATCCAATGATATTATGATAACATAACAACACACATTTGCTCCAAATAAAATATATAATAACGAAGGGTACACTTTTCAAATTTGAGCAACTATACATTTTAACATAAAACCATTGGCTGTATGAATTTATATCGATAAAAACCCTTACTCGATGTTAGTATTATTTTCGCGTGATGTGTTTTCATAGATGTATGCAATACAATACCTACTTACATGATAATATTATAGTTATTGTACAACTGTCATTCGATCACAATAATTATAGTCCAAACGAAATCTCTTGCCGTTTCAGGTGGACAGTTACCTGCTCGAGCGTTACACTCCCGAAATATCCGAAGGGCCGTTCTACAACTCCACGTTGGGCCTGCGGTTTCCGCTCAAAAAGGAATGGGTGGACATGAACAAAAAACTTATGCACGTCAAATGCATCGCAAAGGTAGCCGGAGCTGAGCCCAAGACGGACGAGACGAGTGTACGGCTGCGACTCGTACCCGATCAGACACTATCGCAGGAGAGGCACATTCTTAATGCTGGTAAATAAATACAATTATTTTGTTTGTAGTTTTCGTTCGCAACCGCACACGAGTAGATAATCGGTTTTATTTCAAAGGCCGTTTTTAAAGTCAATTGATACAAACAATTACGGATTCCAAAACTACCACCGACATTGATTAAAATAAGAAATAAAAATCACATTATATTGTTCTCGCACAATATAAAATTAATTACTTATAGTGTTATGCGGAGAGTACTTCAATGGGTAGCCAGTTTCCGTAATAATAATTATTATACCTATATCATTATAATAGATAACTAATAACCTTTATTGTCATTAATCATTATTATTGCAAGCATGAAATATTATGTTAATATAATAATAGGTACGCTGTACCGATTTTCATTCAATTAAATATATTTGAGTATTCATACTTGTAATTTTAATAGCCAATAGGTACATTTTGTAATAGTACAGTGAATTTAAATATAATATAATCAGTTATCAAGTAATAAATTAGGTGATATGCATTTTATACTAATATACAACACGGCTAAAAATTGTATTTTTATTTAAATAAACGTAGGTGTAATTTTAGCCTAAAATGTATTCGTTTATTAATAATTATTGATTGTTATTTGATGTACAATAGCAAACAACTAGCACTCGTTTTATCATATTCACTGTAGTAATAAAATCTAAACTAATTTAATTATTAATAAAACTAAATAAAAAATTTCATAAAATATATTATAGGTACCAGTTATTTAGTAGGTATGGGAAATATTTTGAATAATACACAAATAATGAAAGTATACCTATGAACCTATATTAATATATTTTTTTTTTCATCAAATCATAACTTCGGCTTCTTCATAGGTCAAAGGCAATTCATTTTTTTCAATTATTTCATTACATTTTTTCACAGTATTTATTTTGTTTTATTTTTTATTAAATACATCAAACAATTCATTTTTTTATAATATTATATTTTTTGGTTGACTTCTACATTTGGGCATAGCCCCATATCTAATGAATTTGGTGCATTAATTTTTTTGTTGAAGTCTTAATTATGTTTACATAAATCTATCGGTATGATATATTTAATTTTCAGGGTTTCTATAAAGGTATGTATTGCAGGATGAATCTTATTTTTCCATAAAAAAAAAACAGTGTGTTATTCGGCTATATCAGATTTGTACAGTCTATATTGTATTGTTTTTTATTTTTATTTTATTCAGAGTATTGGTATTTTTTTATTGTGATTTAATTTCGCTCAGTTGATGAATTATTTAATGATTATTGCAATAAAGTTTAATTTTTTTCGTGAACTTTAATTTTAAACTTAAATAAGTAATCGTTATTCTAGGTAAACTAAGTAGGTACCTAAGTAGGAGTTGTAATTAGATAACTATTGAATTATTATTAACGAATGATCTCGAATTAAAAAAAAAAAAATTAAAAATTAAAATATTATAGGTAACCACAGACCAGTTATGGTAATGTTATTATTTTTTTTTTACGATAATTTATTAACTTCAACGAAACGAGTCGTTAATAATTTCATTATAATCGCATAATTTTTCATTTATCGACGTGAAGTAACCGCGGTAGTTCTTAGAGTATACCGAGTAATATTTCCTACGCAATACTACCTACGAATAATTGATTTACACAATCAGAACATTTGCACACATTTACTATACCACTCGTAATTATTTCATCGAAGATATCGGTTTGTGATACGTGAAAATGATTTACGGTATACGTTTATAATTGTGCGGTTACACAAAACGAATTCGTTCAGATTTCGAACTCCAAACAGCGAGTCATTTTTCACAACCGATTATATTATAGTTTTTAATTAATATATTTTCGTAAATACTTTTTGTATTCTGTTAATTAAAAACATTATACTGTTGTGTATAGTAAATATTATAAAAATATATTTTTTTCTACCACCATATAATTAAAATTAAATATTCGAAAAAAGAAAAAAAAATCTGTCAGTCTGTTGTACTTATCAATCCATATATTAAATTATAAACTCACATAATCCAGCTTGCTCCGAGCAAAAGCGTTAAATGATTTGCTTTGGTGTATTTGATTTAAATAAAGTTCATAGTTGTTATTATTTCTTGTAGAATTCACTATAAATATATTTATATGGCAATTAAAATAAGTGCTTTAGAGAAATACGGTTGGCTATATGCATCGCGACCAATATCATTAGTTACTGTCTCTACTTACTCGATTTATACTTTGGTCTAGGAAACTTGGTAATTTGTTCCAATCCAAAAGTTTATATACAATCATTAAAGTTGAATAAAATTTAAAATTTTTCTGCGCATCGTAACATATCTACTTTGTAAAATACAAAATCAAATTAAATTGTTTAAATTGAATTATTGTCACCATGCACTAATAGTAATGTCGAGTGTTAGAAAATATTATTTTTTCTAAATTTAAAGGAAAATAAGTAAGTGATTTATTGTTGAATGGGTTTGATTTTTAATTATAAAAGATTGTTACTATGAAAACTTTATTTACTCGGAACATTTTTATTTATTTAATATAATTATTATTTCAAATGTAAACGTAATTGTTACAATACTACTAACTAATAATAAAATATTTTTTTCTCTTTACACTAAAATCTTTTATAATTGGTTTTAATTCTTCATTTAAAACAGAAGTATGTTATTATAAAAAATATTTAACAATATGAACATATTAAATTCTTATGAATACATTCAACTACCAACTCAAGTGAGCTAAATCCTTGATAAATTAATAAAAATAACTTAAATCGAACATTTATTGATTTTATAATATTTTATTGTAACCGTAAATTGATTATAGATTAATCATCCATTTCATGCTTTAATGATGTTAATTTATCTTTAGATTTTACTATCATGTTTTGAAGTGAGTTGGGTGATTAATAAGTAAGAACAAAATTCATTACCCATCACATCAATAGTATATTAGTATAAAATATTTGGTCAAAGTTTTCTTGTTTTAGATTTTCTGTTGGCGAAAAAATAATCTACCATGCACCTTTATATAAATTGTATAACTGTATAATTTTCTTAAAAAAATATCACTTTTTTAGTACCTACCACAAAAATAGTTTTTAAATCAATTAATTAGTCACATAATATTATATAATATTGTACACAATTCGTATCTGAAATATAATCATAACAATGTATCATGCATGTCGATCGTAGAAGATGATTTAATTTGTATGATCTTTTCTTTTTTTTAGGTGCTGCCATCAACAACCATTGTGCCATAATATTGATCATATCTGCTGTTTATTACTACGAAGTGTACAATTAAGTTGAAGATTTAAGTAAAATCTTGATTAAATACCAAAGATATAACACATTAAATTTATAATCAATAATGTGCAATTAGGATGAAAAACTTTTCCATTTTTTTTTTATCTTTTTTTGTAAAATGCCGTTTTTTTCATTGTTGTCGCCTGGTTGTCTTGGACCCCACCGCATAATAATGGCCTGAACTTCAAACACAAAAATGCCTCGTTCAAAGCGAAGTCGTGTACACAAACGTGGTATCCGTGGTATCAATTAGAGAGTTCGTGCTATTTTTTCAAAGAGCTTTTTAAACCTTTAAACTTTTTATTGAAAGTTCAGGCCTTTGTGTGGGACCGTTAAAAGACTCACCAGTCACCATCTTATTAACCTTTAAATAATAATAATTCGGTTGAAAGTTTTTTTTTTACCACCAACGCGTAAGAAACAAAAACGTGTTTGATGTAAGTTGAGCGTTTTCGAAATAATTCCATATTTTTCCATTTTTTTGACCACATTATGTTTACATGTTTTGCAATGAGCAAATACGGTGGTGCTGATTAGCTCCGTCGCTTTTTCTACCTTTCCCTATTTACCTCTATACTTTCATATTATAAATTAATTCGGCATCCTAAAAGCTACGGGTTTGTGAGTGCAAGTCAACAAGTATATTATGATAAGTGTGTATCTTTTGTGTAAATACTATTAATTGTCGTTGTCCTGTACAACTAGATATTATATTATATTATATTTAATAATATATTACCTACCTATATAAATATATTATGTAATTTAATTCATAGTTAATTGTTGTTACCTATTAAAAAAAAAAATTGATAAGGCATCCTTACCTTTTTTTACCGATCAAGACTAGTCCATGTGCATTTTGTTACTTCGTATAATGCATCATCTCATGATTTTTTTTTTTTTGTTCATACAATTTATTACACCCACATTTCCCACCACCATTGGATTTATTGTAAGTAGTGTAATATTAATAAGCTAGAAAAAACAAAAATAAATATTTAAATTTTTTAATATATAATTTTCAACTTATCGTTTAAGGATAAATTAACATATTAATATAAACTATTTACAATAAATCATTAAAAATAAGACGTACCTATGCTAACATTTAAATATTATAATATATCGATTCATTTGACTCATTTAAAATATTCTCATATAAAACAACATCTGAAAACTATTTTATAACCTGCAACAATGAATGTCAAGTTTGTGTAATTAATTAATATTCTCGAGAAAATGTACAGATTGTATTCATAAATAATGTTGAACGCATATGGAAATTTAATAAAAGTTTTTAATGTTTTGTATATTATTTTTTTGTTTGAAGACGAGACGTGTGTCATAAACTCATAAAATATGTTTTATCCTAAGTTAATTGGAAACATTTCTACTGTTTACCATACAAATATTATGCATTTAATACAAACTGGCATTATTAACCATGTAAAAAATCACATTATTTATAGTCGTCAGACATAAATATCAAAATAGGTTCCTATATAGTTTCATTGTCAGTGGTTTTTGTATATATGTATTGGACGTTTCGATAACTCGTCAGAGAGTTGATTCTGTCCTAATGTCAAAACATTTTGTAGATAGTCTGTCATTTTGCCATTTTGGCTGAGGAACAATTTGTTTCAAAAATTTAAATCGATGGATATCAAATTGTATCGATGAAAATCATATTGCGTTATAAGGTATGAGGTATAAAATATGTAATATTTGTAATATTGTATAATGTAATATTATGCCCACGATAATTATTAAAATCAACAGAATAAAACAGTTTAATAATATTATAATATACAATATAAAATATGTGGACGATTTTGTAAATACTATTGACATAAATCAAGAAAATTATAACTATTGTATTATAAAATAAAATTAGTTTAAAACTGTAAATACAATATTGCATTTGAGTATATATTATAGTAATTTAATTCGTACTGATTGTTTATGACCAACTATTCGCAATGAAACATTCTGACTTAAGCTATCTTGTTTAACAGTATCTAAAAGTTGACATACACGTCTTAGTCGATAGAATTATTTGTTTCATGTTTTTTTTTTTTTTTTTTATTAACAATATCAATTAATTTTGTACTGTACTATTGTATAGTTTTATGTATCATTCCAAAGTTTTTGTTACCATGATATTATTTTATTAATGAAGCAATTATTATATATAATAAATTCATCGAATATTTGAAGAGTCAGTTATAAGTTATAACTTGTAATGTGTATGGGATATAATCAATTTGGTTATAATGTATAGTAATTTATTATTTTCAGATTATAGTTAAAATTGCGAACCGTGATTACTTACTACTTAGTGTAATACATTTATTTTGTAATCTGTGGATATTTAAGTAAACCATAGGTACATATAGTATAGTTTTAAACGTGTCTCGTTTAGATTAATTGTTTTTAACACCTCGATATTGTTGAGATATATAATTTCTGTACAGAACTTTTGTTGTTTACGACACTTTACTATTCTTTAGTCTACTTTTAATTTTAGCTAACACATTTCTAAATTTAAATTATTCATAAAATAAAAAAAAATAACATTTATCTTTATACTATAATCAACGTTATCTATTTAAATGTGAAAACTACATACATTTTTTTGTTATAATATTATGTTACCTACTTGTAATATTGTCACCTAAAAATAAATGTATACTTTTAAATAAATAAATATATTTAAATATATATATTATATATATATTTATTTATATATACCATTATTATATCCATGAAACATTTATGTAAAAATATAAAATGTAAATACACTTTTTAAAACGGATTTTATCTCTTGTTATTTATATTTTTTTTTATTACCTTCGATAATTTTAAGTTCCTTCCATATACACAATATAATACAGGTCTCGATTAAGTAAACAGTCAGTGGAACGTGTATTAGTATCGAATACAACATTTTTCATCGACAGCGTTTAAAAAATACGGTTTAAAAATAGAGACAAGTAATATAAAACTCTGCGAAACTGCACACGTACATGGTATATTGCTGTTCTGAAGAGGCGGGTTACGAACAGAGAAATTGAAGTATATTGAAAATTAAGATCCCAAATATATAATATATAGTATATAGCTTTCTCTATTCTTTTATTCGTACCACTGAAAGAAAATACAAGTGTAATGTGTCTGAAATAAAAACGTTAAAGATAATATCGTGTTACATCGTGCCAAAAATAATTTATTTTTTCATTCCACTTGTAAAATAATACTAATATAATTTCCCTCATAGGTAAGGTATAGTTATCTGAATAATAAATCGGAATTGATTGATACAGATATCCATATACATTTGAATGTATCAACATTTCACTACGTGTACAATTTTTATTTGGAAGTAAATAATAAAATAAATTGTTAAAAAAAACAATTGTTACATTTTTAGAGGAACACAATATGTCTATAATATTTTAAATCGTCATTATGTATAGTGTACATTATTTTTTCTTTAAACACTGTCCAAGAGAAGTTGATTGCCATTTTTTTTTTTTTATAATTTTGCATAAGGGTTAAAATATTGAACACACAATCTAAAAATGAGTTTTATCATTATGTTTATTAAAATCCACAAATTCATGAAAAAAAAAAAAAAAATTTATAACAATAATAATATTAATTACATTTTAGTTGGAAAAATGTAAAAAATTGTTGTATTCACATTTGTTTAATATTCAATGATTTTTTAATATTTAATTCTTTGTAATGCTGTTAGTTGTAACTAATGTAAAAATGTTTTTATGTTAAGACTTAGCATACAACAATTAAAATCATTTTTAGTATCAGTTTGATTATATATGCCATGCAGGTGCATTTTAATTTATATCAAATATCACATATCATTATAATTTATATTGGTTGATTAGATATTATATAGGTATTCTTTAACTTTGGAATTCTATATAGTTAACTCTTGGACTTCTATTACTATTAAATCGTAATATTTAAACCGTGTATAGTGAAACCTCCCCAATTGAACACCTCTGGATAGTGGACACATCCAATTAACGGACTTTTTTTTAGGAACTAACTTCAAACTTTCGATAATCTGAACCCTCTGACTTTCGGACACCTCCGAATAGCGGACACGATGTCAACGTCTAGGAATAATTATATATATTATAAACCTCCCTTACAACGCATGAATAAACAATACGATATTATACCTCACCATTTTTTATAATGCATAGTCACAATTATTACAGAATGTAATGATTATTGTATTATAACGTTTTAGACAAAAACTGGTGAACCGCTGTTATTGTGTGCTGCTGGTAAACAAAGTAGTTTTAGATTAAATATTCTAAAATATTTTCAGTTTTCTTCTTGATGACAAAAAAAAAAAAAAAAATATTAAATTGTTGAGTTTTCCCATCAATTGCATACAGCTTTTTGAGACGTTTTCCTTGGCACCTTGTCACGCACCTTTCGAATTCGTAATCGTTCGGATATTGCTTTTCCATTGGCATTTCGGGGTAAAAATGAAAACCGAAAAATAAATTACAGGTATAAGGTCGTATTTACCACAACTATGCTATACGCGCTATCGGCAGAATATTTCGTATTTATGTCGTCGCCACGATAAATAATGGGATTTTGTATCTACCTCCAATTTATTTTAAGTGCGTATTATTTTTTTCGTCCTAGCTTCCGCCGAACCCGGCGTTTACACTTAATATATATATATATATATATACACGGGCTATATTATATAGCACTGTGTATTATGAGCGTACGAGCACATACACACTTACACTTACTGTATAATATTATAACGTCTTCGGTTCCCCGCTGAGAGAGCGTAGGATGGTGGGGAGGGGTAGAAGGCGGTTAGAGGGGCTGTTTCGCCAGACGGTGCACTCGATGAATATAAAACAGGGGCGGAGGCGGCGGCGGCGGCGGTTAATGTGCATAATTATGTTCGAAATTTTCAAATGGAATTGAAATTCAAGAACC